CCAGCCTTAACCATGCCGGCAGCACACGTGGCAGAACAGGGCAGGGGTTTGCTCCGGAGCCGCTGGGAAGTTGGGATGGGGGCAGTTTTCTCCGGAGCCAGGGCAGAGCCACAACCTGTAGCCTGCACGCTCCAGGCAGGGGCGCACAAGCAGGGGATCATGGCTCTGCTCTAGGTTCTTGCAGCAGTGAGAGCCTCATCTGGAGTAGGGGTAGAGTCGCAATCCCCTGTTTGCGCACCCCTGCCCTGAGTGTGCAGGCTACAGATTGCAGCTTTGCCCTGGCTCCAGAGCAAGCCGCCCCCATCCCAAGTTCCCAGTGGCCCCTGCGCTGCTCTGCCCTGCGCACGGCCCTCGCCACTGAGGCTGGTCTCCATGGCAACCCCAGCCTGAACTTCCCTGTGCAGGTGTGGCTGGAGTCTCCATGGAGGGCAGGGGCGGCTGAGAAATGGAGTCCACGGCTGACCAGATCTGGCCTGCGGGCCAGACTTTGCCTGTCCTTGGTCTATTGGGTCCCATCACTGACTATTTACTCTGCCCTCTTGAGTGGCTTTATATCACCTTACTAGAGCATTTGTAGTTGAATAAAAATGAGCCTTCTGCTTGTGTGACTATAATCTCATGGGCCCCAAGTTTAAATGACTTAAATGCAAAATGACTTTTAAAACAAAATGGACAAACTCCTGCAATCTAAAAATATGTGGGTATGCTATATAAAATCTTGTAAAACTCCTTTAAAGGGCATTAACTTTCCAGAATAAACTGTTCTGCTTTAAGAATATAAAGTGCTGAAGGTACAGAACCAGATGAAGTTTTTACAGAGAGATTACAAGTAAATCAAAACTACTATTTTGATTTGAGCATTTGGCCTGTGGCTATTTGATTTCAACCTTTGGGCTGTAGGTGGTGCTCTAGCTATGTTAGTCAGTTGTGTTGTTGCTGAAAATAGGAACAAATTTAGTGTTAAAAACACTGAGCTGGCAGAGGTTGTGTGCTGGTTGTATATTTGGGGAAGATTTCGGTGAAGGTGTAGCAGGATGAGCGGGTTTTTTTTGTTTTTTTTTTTACAAACGTAAATATTTTTTATTAGACTTGGATTCACTAAACTCCAAATTTTTGGAGAAAGACTCACTCAAACTTTGTTCTTGGCACTAAAGCATCTAGTATTTTAAAAGATTTGAACAATATAAGATTCTAGATGCATGTATTTTTGAGGGTGCATCTACACATCACATTACAGCGATGTAGCGACGTGCTACGGAGACGTAGCAATCACGCAGGTCTACATGTGATTGTCAGCTGTGTCATTGTAGTGGTGCGCTCCCTGGTTACAGTGTGCTGCTATGGCAGCGTAGCAGCAAAATATAACTATGCTCTGTGCACAGCACAGTAACCACCTGTACTGCACCATGCTTTAGTACTTCCAAAAGGAAGTATTAAAGCACAACGCACCCAGTGTCTAACTAGAAAAAATGAATCTTCATTGTGCTGTGGCTTTGAGTGGTGTAAGGTAAAGTTGTCACATGCCATGTCACAGGTCTGCAGGGGTAGCCTTTCAATATCTGGTATAATAAAAAAGGCTAACTTCCAAGTGGCTGCCTAGATTACATACAAACACAATTCTTATAGTACAGTTGTTTGTTGCATTCTAGAGTGCCTTTTTATATAAATGTTTAAGACAGGGGTGGGCAATTATGTCGAGCAGAGGGCCACTTACTGAGTTTTGGCAAGCCATCGAGGGCTGCATGACAGGCAGCCAGGGGCAGATAAATATAATTTTCTAAATTTTTTAGGGGCCCCATGGGCTGCATTTTGCCCACCCCTGGTTTAAGATGACTGTCTATGAATATGGGGCTTGTGTTTCTTTCTGAGCTAGTTGCCTATTTGTCAGCCTTCAACTCAGAATATTCTTACGTTCACAGATAGCTCTTGCAGCCCTTTTTGGTGAAAAACACTTCCTATCTTTTATAAACTTTCAGGTGGCTGAACTAAGAAGTAGCCTGAGGGACTGTTTTCCTTTGAAAGCTGAAATGGTTTTGAGGTAGTTGCGTCTGACTCCTAGGCACAACTTTTTGCATGACTTCCCTTTTTAAACATTAAGCTGCTGGAGTGTTTATGAGAGTGAATACATTTGAATAATTTATTGTTCTCTGTGTTGATGTATAAGAATTCTCTGAACCTTCCCATAAAATAAGGGTCCCTAGATATGTGCCCTACAGACTTGTAAAGGTTCCCAGTATTTGTTCCTTTTATTCATAATTACAACATAAACAGGAATGCAAAATTCAGTCAGATGAATAGTTAGTATAAAATATTATATTTTATTAGCGAAGAATAATGCAATTTTAGTCTGTTATATTTCAACATAAGATGAAAAATAGAGGAGCTTGGAAGTGTATGTAAAACGCATTTTTTTTCTCTAGGATTATTCACCTTTAAATTACATAATTACACAATTTTCTTCTAGTACTGAACAAGATCAATTTTTTTTTTCTTATTTGCCATTAACAGGCATTGGTGTTATTTATTTGTATTACGGCAGTACCTAGGGAGGCTGGTTGGAGATCAAGCCTCCAGTGTACAAGGTCCTTTTCATATGTAACAAATATAGTCCCTGCCCCAAACAGTATATAATCTTTAGTATACAATGAAGCATAATCAATAGTAAGATAATTGTAATTACCAGTCTGGGCACACTAGCAACCTAGCCATCGTGAAATGACTTTGCTAAGTTGAGTAGTAAGAAGAAGTTATATTATCTATTTCAAGGATTCCCACCATTATATTATTTTAGCTTTGTTAGTCTCCAAGTATGTGACTATATGTGCTTGACACTTGAGCAATATACATATACATATAGACTTTGTATTACAGCTCTTTGAAACAAGTGCCTCTTTAGCTTCATGTTGTTTTTCTGTCCCTCTCATGGTCAAGAAAATTCTGGTAGTATATTATAAAAGTAAAAGTGAATCGTCAATCAAAGCAATGATATTCTAAGTTCCCCACTGAGTTGCAAGTGTTCTTTTGAGATGATTGGAAATTGTGTGGTCTTTTAAAATCCCTCCTGAGTTAAGTATTAGAGGCTCTTGAGAATAGGATCTAGAGAAAATTACTCTAAAAGAACAGGTAAGTCATATTCCGTGCCCCACCACTTATCTATGTAAACCCTAATGATGTCATACTGATTTTTTAAAAATAATTTCCACACAGGGTTATGGAACTCATCTGATGAATCATCTGAAAGAATATCACATTAAACATAACATTCTCAACTTCCTCACATATGCAGATGAATATGCAATTGGCTACTTCAAAAAACAAGTAAGTCAGTCTAAGAAAAGATTTAGATCAGTGGCAAAAGTTGAAATTTAGGAACAATATTTGCATCTTGTGAGAGCTAATCACTTAGATAAAATGTTTGTTTGTTTGTTTGTTTTAAATCACAAAATATGTTTTGTATTAGCCACAGTCAAGAAGCTGTTTTACAATGTAATTTATTTTGAAAGAAGACTGAATATATTTGTAGATTACATAATGCTCTTAATCATGTGTAAAACCATCACAGATAAAATTGATTAAGATAAATTAAGACTTACTTCTGCCTTACAGTTTATATGTTAAAATGCATGTTTCATCTTTACAAAGTATCAGCTCCACTCCATTTAAAGAGTCACAATTGTTGAAAGGGTTTTGAGATTTGACAGGTGCATGATGGTAGTGTGGTTTTAATATACAGAACAGAATTGATTATGGACTGGTATCCTTTTTGTGTAAACAACTTCTAAAAGTGGCAGAGTTATATCAGCAGATAAGGTGGAGTTGTCAGTAGTGGTGGAGTTATGTCTTGTGTTCAGTGTCTGATTGTGTTCCTTTTTTAAAATAAGAGATGCTAAATATAAAAAAAAAAAAAATCAGTAAATCATTAAGGTTAAATGGATCAGCTGCAATTGGCCCCCTTTGCCACACAGGGGGCCAAATTAGCAGATCTATATGAAGAATTGGAGGGCCAGTATTAGTCAATTAAAAAAACACCAAAACTATTCTCCTTGCTTGCTTTAGAAGTGAGTCATGGGAGTGTGTATAACTGCAATAAGTAAGGGTGTGGAATCTGCCCCAGAAACTGCAGATTTTCTGACATCCCTGTGTGGGAGCTAGTGGTTCTGTCAGAGGATCAAAGCTGGATATACAGACACCCTGGGTCTCTTCACTGGTCTTTTGTTCATCTTTGTGGCTCCTCAGCACCAGCTATCTTTCTAATATATCATTCACCATAGTACCTAATAATCACGATTCAATATGTATGTATAATGCAGGGTGAGAACATTCTGCTTAGCAAGGCTGATTCATATTGCCAGTTTTGTTTTGTCTCTATGTTTATGCACTTTACTAGTTTTGTTATAAACTTTAGGAAAGATCATGACCGCCTTCCTGATTCTGACTGAGGTTTCATAAATATTATTGCAACACACAGCATAGATAAATAGGCTATAGTGGTTGGTAAAGGAAAGATTCCTGGTCTTCTGGTAGTGTTGGATTGATAGTGCAGCCACGTTGGTCCAGGAAAAATGATCCTAAGTATAAAGTTAGTCCAAGAAGAATGGACTCACCAAATTCCTTGCTCCTGGTCTTTTGACATTTCTCACCTTTTGTAAAACTCCTATCTACCGTAGATTTTTGCTTGACAAATGACTGTAGGATTTGGACCTGGAAGAATAATGCCTGAATATATATGATGGCTAACATTTTCATCTATAAACAGTTTATTTTCAATAAAAACAATGTTTCCCTAGCCCTGCGTGTGCATGCGCACACAAATGGTATATTTTTGATTTTAGCTTCTGTTCTTCATAGTACTCAATCCTGTCCCAACCTTACACACATATATAAACAATATTTATATAAAGTTACTTGAGTTTCAAAGTATTTTTGCAAGTCTAGAGCTGGTTTGTAGCTGTTCTTTTATATTTGTTGTCATTTTAATGTTCTAAGGATTTTTGGTTGTAATTCATAGTTGTTTTTCAGTTAATGCAGTTTTCTTTTCATATGTGATTTATGATAATTTGATTTTATCTCTTCTCAGGGCTTCTCCAAAGATATTAAAGTACCAAAAGCAAAATATGTTGGCTACATCAAGGATTATGAAGGAGCTACATTAATGGGATGTGAATTAAATCCAAGGATTCCCTACACTGAATTTTCTGTCATCATTAAAAAGCAAAAAGAGGTAAATGCTGAAATGAAATATTGTAGTCTTCTTCAAAAACAAGATGTACACCACATTTTAAATAGCTTCAATAAATAATTTAAAATAATTTGTTAGCACTGGGATATCTGTCCCCTTCCATGCACGTATCCACTATGCAAAACATCATACTGGTCATTTTTAGTTTGAACATTTTATTCCAGCCTTAATTGTCATAAGTTTGCCAGGTAAAGCATAACTTGTACTTTCCTGTTTTTACTGTGATGGTGATACAGAAAAGTATTCATATTCATTGCTCAAAATGAAATCATTCATTGTGTGCAAGTTAGTAAATAAAATACTTCTTTAATTAGTTCTAATTTTAATTACTTTTAATTAGTTAATTAACTTCTTTAAAATGTTCTGTCTGAGAGCCACTCTAATTAAAGCATCTGTCTCTCTGATAGTCCATCCAGCATCTTGTGTATCAGTGTCCCCATGCTTCAAAATGGCGGTGGGGGCCCTTTAACAAAAGCCTGTTGAATTAGCTTTAGTTAAAGCACCCCCACTGCTATTTTAAAATGTGGGGTCACTGATATGTGAGATGTAGAGGCTGGCTGGCTAATTAACACACTCCAGTTGACTTGATTAATCAAGTGTGCTCTGACGTAAGGCTGGAAGGGACCTAGTTCAACCCCCTGCCTGAGGGAAGATCATTCGTATCCAAACTATCCTATACAAATCCATTATCTAACCTCTTAGCAAAACTACACAGTCAGCCCTGGTCACTTTGAGTGGAGCATTTTCAAAGTATGTTCTTTCTTTTAAGTTTAAACAACCTACCATTTTTCTCCCAACACAGACTTTGAATTAACAAAGTAATTAAATGCTGAAGTTAAACGTTGGGAATGCATTCTTGATTGGGTAATAGAAGAAACAATAAACCTTCACAAGTTTTTTTTTTCTATAAACCAGAACACCATTATGTCCTCCTGATACAGGTTTAAGTCTCTTATTATTTTGAAAAATATTTTCTCTATCAATCTGTTTCTTTGAATAGAGGAAACACCTTCACTGAATAACCCGCTCTTTGGCCCAGATATGCAGGTAGCTAGACAAGATGCAAACATTTGGTTTAATTTGGCCACAACTGTATTAATAAAATTGGGAATGATCAGGCAGTAACTTGTACAGGTGGTCATTCCTGTCTCTCATTTCCACATGTTGGGCTGGGTTGCTGTCAGCCCCTTACCTTCTGAACCTAGTCCTGTGCCACTGCTAGGACATTGTCACCACCATCCTACATTTTATGGCAGAGGACAACAGTTGCTCTCCCTCTTCATTCTGGCTGTCTTTCAGTGTTCTCCCTTATTCTGCTTTTTTCAAGACCAAATATTCCTATATTCTCTAAACCATTCCTCTTACTGCTTGCTTTCCAAACCCTTTTGTCACCTTTGGACAGGAATAGGTATTTGTACTGGGAGAAAAACCTTTCCCTTGGCTAAAAAAGAAAGCATACAGCTGTTCAAGCAGTTTATTGAAGAAAACTGGCTCTTCCGCAAGAAAGTTAGACTGATTCCTATGAGGAAGATCTCCCTCCTACCCAGTCTAACTTGAAAAGCTGTCAGCTTCTCTCTGGTTTGGAAGACACTCTATATGGCACAGTCTGCTGCGCTCCCTCCCAAGGGAGATAGCAGGAAGGAGAGCACTGGCTCTCTGATAGTCCATCCAGGAACAAGCTGTCAGGGAGTCCTGGGGGAAAATTCCTCCCATCATCCCACTAATTAGGTGATTGGCAGGAGAGCGGTGAGGCATTCTCCTGCAGTGGGAACTATTCTGGTAGGGTTCCCACCACAACATAATTCTTCCCACCAGCCCTATAAATGTCAGGATGGACGGGCCCTTTTTCTGTGGGGGTGGGGGCTCCTAGATCCAGGATTGCTATCAGGGAAAATGGTCCTACAAAACTACTCTGGTGGACCCAGAGGACGGTTCAGGGCTTGCCAAAACTCCCAAGTCTCTCACTATGGTTTTCCTGCTTCTCACATGCCTCCCTTTTTACCAGGTGGTGTGTCTTGCAGTTGTCTTGCAGCAGCAAGGCTCCCCAGGCTCTGAGAACCTTGTGGCCATGGAAGAATATCTTCCTTTGTACCCCATGCTCCTACATATCTGACTAGATCATGCCATGATTTAAAAAAAGGAAAGACTGCCTATTAACAGCCTGCCCCCTTCCCAGGCATTTTCTTCATTCATCACACTAGTCATCACATTCAGTCACACTAGTTATCCCAGTTTGTCAAAGAAATGAGAACAAGTTAATCTGCTATGATTTGCTCTTGTTTGCTAATGATCACCCCTTTCTTCTCTAGGTGTTTACAGATTGACTGTTTTATAATTTGCCCTAGTAATTTCCCAGATATCTTGAAGTCAAGCTAACTGGTCTATAACTTCCTGAGTCTTCCTTGTTTAAGGCACCATATTGCTTCTCTTTCAGTCTCGAACCCCAAAACCTCAGTTGTCATCCATGACTGCAAATATTATTGTCAGTAGCTTTGACATTTCTTCATTTATTGCTGACTCAAATTAATTTAATTTGTCAGAAGTTCTCTATTGCATCCCCATTATCTGCAACCCATTCTCCTCTTCGTTTGTATTAATTTTGATAATTGTCTGGTTGCAGTGGGGTTTGTTCATTTTTGTTTTGTTCCCTGAAGGTTGAGGCAAAGTAGTTCATTGAGCAGCTCAGCCTTCTTTGCATTTTCTATTAAAAACTTAGCTTCACCATTAAGCAGCAGATCCAGATTTTCTGTTTTTTGTGAAGTAGGCATCTAGGAGCCTACATTGCTTTGATTTGTCAATGCAGCTTAAGCTCCTAAATGACTTAGGTTACAGATAGAGGAAGAAAACATACCAAATTAGAGGGGTACAAAAGATTTATCACGTATCATGTGCTTTGTTGTAACCATTCTGAGTGTCTGTTCTTATATTACAGTAATTGGAAGTTAAGTCAGGGAACAGTGTGCCCATCAATGAAACAGTGCTAAGTTACCATTGTTGAGCATCTGGTTACTGTGGGACAGGAGTGAACACAAAACAGTTGCCATGTGTCAGCTGCACTGCAGTGATTCCTCCATCGTCGTCCACAATTTTGAAGATGATATAATTTTTTTCATCCATTTTACAACATTAGTCACTTGTGAAAATGAGAATTAGGAACTTTAATCATTTGGGTACTTTTGAAAATTTTGCTTTCTCCATCCAAGATGATATTGTTTTCCAACCTCCACATCATTGGAAGTGTGTTTGTAATATTTCATTTTGCAGTTAGGTGCTGCAGTCCTCCAGAAATCCTGTGCTCTTTGCATTATAGGGATATCTTCAAACATTCATCAGTCCGTAACTTTATGAAAAAATGTCCGTCTATTTTGTCAATACAAACAAAATATTAAGATTTATGGGTGTAAATATAATTTTGAGTGCTGATGAGGTGGCTGATGGGTGGATTGTGGCTTGTTGCTTCCACAGTTGTAAATCCAAAACAGTTTCCTACCAGAAACCAAGCTGAAATAAATTCTGTTAAATTTATCATCGTGCTCAGGGAAGATGTCATTTTCTTTAAATGAGTTACAATCCAAAGAAGAAATAGCTGTTTGTAGACAGTCTTAAAGAATAGTGTAAGAATTTTTTTGAATTTTAGTGCGTTGTTGTTGGGTGCAGTAATTTTTGTTGTATAGATTTATTTTCAAATACAGGGTTCTTTAACTTAGGTATTAAAGCTACTGTGTTATTATCATGTATTTATCTTCCCTTCTCAAGAGACCTGTTCCTGAAAGTTTACATTCCTTCCATTAATCCTTGTTTGCTCTATGTGCCTTGCTTTCTCGCAACCTGTGTTCTAGCCGTGTGCTTGTTGTCACTGCTCAATTTGTCTCCCTGAGGTTGTACCTAAACAATACAAGGCACTTTTCTTGCTTATGCCCCTTTACTACATAGAAATTTCCATGTTACTATTGCAGTACTTCCCAATTTCATTTATCAGTGGGTCTGGTGGAGCTGGAACTGGCCTGTAATCTACATCCTGTTTTTCCTAGTCCTATCCATATGTACAGAATTTAAGCTTTCATCTAAAGAATTGGATTGTATCCATATGACTGCAAAAAAGTCAGTGTGAACCATCACACTGCCGTTTTGCATAGGCTGTAAATAAACAAAACCAACAATTCTGGGAAGCATGAAAAATTCCATCTCTCCTTGAAGAAATGTTGACATTGAAATTTAATGCTAATGATTTCAATTTTGTCATTAACTTGTCCACCACTTGTTTCATCAGAAACATCCAAAAATATTGGTCTTGTGGGTAGAGACTAGAGAGAATATCACTGTTTGTTCTAGCCTGGCTTCTATAAGATGTTGATTCCAGACAAATGGACTGGCTGATATTGTAGTTTAACATTTATTACCACTTTAAAACGTGAGTTTTAAAAGAAAATAGTAAAAATTAGTTTTAGAAACCCAGTAGTGGGGATGTTCCATTTTTAAAGAAAATTGTTTCCTTATCAAAGAAAAAAACCCTATTGTAATCTCAAAAAAGTGTAATGATTAACTCAAATTAAAAAAAAAAAAGAATATATAGCCAGTATTAAGTGTTTAGATGTATAAAAAGAATAATTACACAGGAAGCAGTCATTTCGAAAATGACATCTTCCAGGCACAGAGTATAGCAAAGCGTTTAAATACTCATCAGGAGCACAAAACAAAATTAATTAAAATTGAGGTAACAAAAGGGAGACAAACAGAACAGAACAGAATTAACCTTTCAGTTGGTGGTGTCAGAGTGATGGTTCCTGTGATCAGAGACCTGAGCAAGAATGTCTTGCATTCGAAAGCTTGTCTCACTTTATCTCAACTACATAGTTGGTCCAATATAAGATATCACACTAAGAAATCCTTCACCCTTTCAATTGAAAAAAACCCTCTCGTTTTTCATGAATTCAGATGATGAGCTGAATGCAAGGAAAGGCAGAAGAGTTTTCTGCTGTATATATATCATCAATCTTGACTTCCTTGAGGGAAAATCTTGAATAAGGGCCGTTGTGATTAATATACAAACACCGTCCACAGTTACACAGAGATTTTAAAACTGAACAAGTGCATCTGAAAACTAGAAGATAAGCAGTATTCTTGTTCAATAAAATATTTATGATGGATTAACTTTGTGTTCTGTGTGCATCCAAACTTCACAGTGATTTCAGGGGAAATCTTTGGTGCACAGAAATGGAATAATAACGTATTAATAATGTGTTTCTACACATTACGGTTCTACTGTAGTGTCTTGCTAGTTGCTTTTGAGCTTGTCAACTACAGTTCTTGATTTTTGAAACTACATTTCTTTTTCTGTGCTACATTATAACAGATTATAAAAAAGCTGATTGAAAGGAAACAAGCTCAGATTCGAAAAGTCTATCCTGGTCTTTCCTGCTTCAAGGATGGCGTACGACAGATTCCTATTGAAAGCATTCCTGGAATTAGTATGTACCAACCTCCCTTAATGCAGTGCTGCATCAAAATAGCCAAAAAGAGAGGCCAAGATCAGAGAAATTAGAAGCTGCTAAATATTGCTTATTGGTAGCATAGATATATCTAAATTAATCTGATATCAGGGAGGGCTGATTCTGTTATTTTTTTTTCTACAGGTTTAGAAATGTTCTCAAGGATTCCTAGTCTAGAGCTATTCTACATACATTATTTTATTCTATTGGCATGTGATGGTCCTTTGTTTTGTTTTCATGTGTAATTTCCACCTGACTAGTGTGTACTCTATAATCCCGTTCAGTGATCTAGCCTTGTGCTAATTAAGTAGGGATTGGGATACAACAAAACTAAGCCTATCAATAATATTTTTCTCTGTTGTCTGACTTTGTAATTTATTTTCTGGCTCTAAGAAATCATTACATCATTTTACATCTATTTTCTTTAAATAGAAATGCTGGAGGTAATAATAAAAGATGGTAAAGGATTTTTAAAGAAAACAGTGCATTCTTGCTAGGATGGTATCATGAATGGGACTTCATGATACAGGATATTGGAGTATATTTTGTAGGAAATGAAACGGGGCTGGGAGCTAAAGTACTGTAGTTTTAAGATTAATCCTAAAAAGCCCTTTATTCAGGGAGCACTGATATTTATTATTCTTTTTTTTAGATTCATATTAACTCTTAATCTTCTGACCTAAAGTTGTTCTCATGTAATGTTTAATTTTGTTGGTGTGCAGGAGAGACTGGCTGGAAACCAAGTGGAAAAGAGAGAGGGTAAGTACAATTTGAACAACTAAAATTATTAAGTAATTTGAGAATTCTTTGAAAACAAAAGTCTCCAGGCTACGTTACTTGAAGTGTTTCTTTTATATCGAGAGCAAAATTGAGATAAATAATTATCAATAAACTAGCTCCTGGGTATTGTTTTTCTGTTAAAATGTTTTCTGTTTGAGCATTGGTTTTGTGTTAAGTGCAGCATTATAGAAATGAAATAAGAGATTAAAGGTAATCTTTTTTTTTTTTAATTTTTTTTTTAATTTCAAGTAAAGAGTCCAAAGACCCAGATCAGCTTTACAGCACATTAAAAACCATCCTTCAGCAGGTTAAGGTGGGTGTTACTTTTAGTTCGTCTTCTGTAAAGATTTTTTAATGATTTCCAACATGGAGTTTCCATATTAGATACCTTACTCCTTTTTTTTTTTCCCCCCCCCAAAGAGCCATCAAAGCGCTTGGCCCTTCATGGAACCTGTGAAGAGAACAGAAGCTCCTGGATATTATGAAGTTATAAGGTTTCCCATGGGTAATGCCACTAACATTTTTAAGTATAGATTTAAAGATCTCTCTAGCTCAGGGGCGGGCAATTATTTTGGGCAGAGGGCCGCTTACTGAGTTTTGGCAAGCCATCGAGGGCCACATGACAGGCCGCATGACAGTCTTCACAATGTTTTCCTGCTGTGCCTGTCTGTATATTGACAAAAAAGGGAAAAATGATATTTCTTCAAAAGAAAAAGCACTCAGCTGTGTGGTTTTTTTGGTGAATTTCTTTGGCTACAGCTGTATGTATACTTTTGTCATTAAATGTAAAATACTGTACCCACAGTAACTTTTATTTATTAAAAAAAATTCTAATGCTGTCCAAATTGGAGGGCCCCTTAAGGATTCATAATTGTAGGTTTTCAGTCTCCAATGTTATCTGTATAGATTACTAGCCTTAGGCTTTTTGTATTTTGCCCATGCTCTTGAAGATAACTACTTTTCCAAAGCTATGAATTGTGCCATCATATTCAGGTTTTTTTTCCAGCTCACTTGTGCTCCACAAAGTATACAACTAAATGGGAGAGGTTATTTGTTAACATCTCCTTAAAGTTAATTGGAAGAAGCTGCATCCTATTAGTGCTATACCATACTGTTTGCTGTGAGGTCCATCAAACAAGACAGTATTATTGTAAAGCAAGTACTATATTTACTTATACACTGCATACATGCTTTACCCCAAAATCAGCCCTCCAAAACTGAAACATGTCTTAAGAGAAGAAGCTGATTTTTCTTTGCTGGAATAGAAGCAGAGAGGAATAGTGAACAGCATCTCTATGTTTCTAATGGTGGCCAAAATGGGGCATAGCATCTCTGCATTTCTATGTGGCCCAGCAGAGCAGCAGTGGTGGAGTCCAGTGTTAACCTTCTCACAGCTGTTAATTGAACAATTGAGCTGGCTAAGAGTAAGCTGCTGCATGCAATCCATAGTATCTTGATGAGACTTGTGGTGTGGAAACATTTTATTATTAACAGTACTGTTTACAGTAAGAAGCAACAGTCTTGCTACTGTCCTTGTAAGGGTCTCGAGCCTAGCCTTGTTGCTCTCTTGCCATACTAGGAAGTTCCTGCTGCCTCATCCAGGCTGTTTCCTGGACCTTTTGTTTCCAGGAGGACTTACTATGTCACACAGCCAGCCCATGGCTGGAAAAATCCCTTTTTCTATATTCTGTCTTCCAAAACCAAGGTGCATATCTTATTTGGGGGGATGTGGTATGCAAGAAAGCATGGTGCTTCCTGGTGATTTTTTGCCCCCTTGCATATCTTCCCTTACATTAAAGTTTTGCTTTAAAACCTTCTGGAATTCTAGTGTTTCAGATCATCCCTGTGTGAGATGCGTACAAAATAAATACATTTCATCATGCTTTAGTTTTTCCTGCACACAGAGTCACAATTTATTTAACTAAATGAAGGCAACCCCTTATGTTCAGTCCCCTTAAATTGGCTTAGGAGTACCATATGTTGATCTAGCTTATGTCAGTATGGAATCTATTTAATCCAAATCGATATAAGGTACTCTTAATCTGATTTAAGAGAAACCAAGCAAGAGGGCTGTACTGATTTAACTAAATCTGTTTCCAAATGGACTTAATCAGTACAGCTTTTGTCATTTGAATCTCTCAAGTGAAAACAGCTAGACAAACAGCTGGTGTACATGTCACTATTCCTACTATGTGTGACCTCAAATTTCTTACATGGAATATTGGCTGACTTAACACTGGTGTGAAGGTATAATGGAATACCCTTCCTTTTCTGCAGGGGCATCTTCTACCTCACTAATGGTCTAAACAGAGGCCTGATACTGCTCCAAATTCAGTTTTTTAATACTTTCCTCTTATGACACACTACTATCACTTTTCTCTCCATTACTCATATACAGTGTCCCATTACTCTTATACAATGTTCTTCAGTTTTTGTAACAAACTTTTTGGCATTATTTTGCATTATACTCTCACATCTCTCTTGCTATTGCGAGTTGTATCTCTTCGCAAATTCTGTGACAGGGAGGTGTCTACATGTGTTATTAATTTAATTGAATAAACTCCACCACAGTTCACACCAGAGTTTATTCAATTAAATTAATAACACATGTAGACATGTGGGGCTGGTGCCGGCTTGCGTTTGGGGCATTGCTGGGAGAGGAGGCTGTGAAGGGAGGGGGCTATGGTGAATTCTGGAGTGGCTGCAGCCCCTCCCAGTGCCGCTGCTACATGCCCTGAGCACAGCTTGGCCCAGCCCCTGCTGGAAAGAGCCCGATGCAGCCGCAGCCCACAGCAGCAGCCCACCCTGCCCCACACGCTGATCTGGGGGCACCCCCCCCCCGTGCCCTTCCAGGGTGCATGCAGTGGCAGGAGTCACCCCCAACATGGCTCAGTCTGCCCCAGCACCACTCCCTCCCTCACTGCTGGGGCTTCGAATGAACCCTTCCCCCTCCCCTTCCCTCATAACACGCTTACCACCTGTACCCAGCTGCATTATTTATCAGCCATATTAGGTCTGCGTACCTCCTGTGACCTTTTTAAGTACCCCGGTTGACCACCACTGCTGTAGTGATTCAATATTTCACACATATCTAAAATTCCCAGGATGCTTATGCAAACTTAACAGACTTAATTTTTCTTCCTTTCTGAAATAATTTGATGTTACTTGTAACTTTTTGTAGAGCTGTTCTCCCTTCTGGAGGTCACATCTTTATTGCAAATTAATGACAAGAATGAATTGTTTCCATCTGTACTATCTGTTTCTACTAGTTCTATCCCTCTAGTTGAGATGAGAGATGTTTTCCTATTTCCAACATCTCCATTGCCATCATGGTCCTTAGCAATATGTAAGACTTCTTTTGCAAATATTAGATATTTTTTCAAGTAACTTAGAACTTTCTAGAGCCCAGCTCTAGCACTGCTGTGAAGTAGCTATGAACTGGAAGAGGGTTCTGGGTATGGGCGTCTCAATGCACACAGCAAACATCTTGACTTCAGAATTCTTGTGTCCAGTACTAGCACATTTATAATCATTGCACCTGAAAAGTAGGCTGTTGCCTACAAAAGCTCTTGTGTTTCTTTGAATTAATTAGTCTGTGAGGTACCAGCCTGCCCTATCTTCTGCCTCAGATGTACAACAGGAGAATGGGGGTAGTGAAAGAGTGGTCCAGAGTAGAACTGTAGACCACAGGAACTTTTGCCTTCTGCAGTGTGGGTCGTGTGTCTTGTCTTAAGATATGTAGACTATATTTGTGGTACTGTACCACGGTGTAGGCAAGTGCAGTCGAAGGACCATCCATGGAGATGCCAATTAACTAATGGATCCAGAGGATCGTTAATCCTCTATGACCCACAGGTAGTCAGGTTTGGAGCATTAAAGTAACTTAATTTCCCTTAGCATTGATCTATTGCCCAACCCCACTCAGAGTTGGAAAGAGTAGCTACACACTACAATACGGGTAGGTTGTGCAATATAAGCTGTATTACACAACAAAACCCGTGCAACAACTACCCGATGCAATATTCCCATAACACCCGAACCACAACACAATAAAATACACCCGATGGGACAATAACCGAATGCACATCCCAAACCCAATGTCCCTGGTCACACAGCCAATCAACTACACGTTACAATGAGCTTCGGTCACTACACAGTTAACTGCCGTGCAACTTTACAGACAACCTAGAAGCCACAGATGGCAGCAAGAACACCCTGGGCTTAGTGAGCAGGAGAAACCCTCTGACAGTCCCTGAGGATTTCTAGCGTTTCCCTGCTTAGGTACTCAGCACCTCAAATAGGGAAAGGGTGATACTTTACCCAACTGCAGCTTCCCAATGACCAGGTCACAGCAAGGAACCTGCACCCGATGAACTCCACTCCCTGAGAGCCCAGAATCAGAACCGTCCAGTCAGAGTGAGCCTGAGCCCCTGCTGGCTGCTCTGGACAGGATTTATAGCTTTCGAATCACGCCACCTGTCATTCACCCAGTGGTCCAATTATACCCCTTCTCACAATACCCAATCAAATTCAAACCTGGGCAGTACTTAAAAGGACCAATCAATTCAAAATATTTCAACTCAATACAAGCAACATTATCATAACTGCCTGATTAACAGATAATCATTGATAAACAGTTGCATTACCATTATACACTGTGCATGCCCAGACTACCTTAAAAGTAGGTCAGGACTTCATCAAGGTTGAGAATTCAAACCCTCTAGAAACTTCTCACCTCTAGTCATATGACGCAGGCGTGGACTTTCACTGTTCTAAACAGTAGCAGTGTTCTTGGCACTTCCAGTTTTGTGATTAGAAGTGGTGATTTCTGGGATTCCTTGGGCAAAAAAACTGCCTGTAAACGCAGGGGACTTGACAGGAGGCCCCTTGTAATCCTGTTTCAAAGGTAGCCAGTAAAACAAACTGAATTAGCTCACAGAAAACTGTATCTTTCCCCAAAGAACCCTGCATATTTGCCTTGATTTATCTATTAACTAAATTACAAACTTGTGAAAGTAGTTAAAATGTATCACATAGATCCTGTACTTATTATTGCTTATTATAAACAAAGATACCTATCCTTTGTTGTATTAACTTAAATGGACTATGATGTTTGTTATTCTGATATTTTTGTGATACATATTGTAGGGTATTATCTTGGCCAGTGCTGAATTCCCTTCACATCTGATACTAATAATAGTTTAAGGACAGCACCTTTAGAGCAGGAGCTAGCAACCTTCTAGGAGTAGTAGACTAAATTTAACAGAGCCAGGTCCAAATGTGTGCCACCACTTCTGACCCAGTGGTTGCTGTATGCTAGCCTGGCACCAACATCCTTGGCTGCAGATTTGCTGCAGATGTCCTGGCTTCACAGGCCAGGTATTGTTGCTTGGTGGGCTGGGTTCAGTCTGTGGGCCATAGGTTGTTAACCCCTGCCTTAGAGGATAAAGACAACCAGAATATCAGACAAATATTTACATTTTAGCCCTTGGCAGACAAGGTTGTTCAGGTAAGTCTGATATGTTTTATTAGACCAACTCAAATAGTTGGAAAAATTCTTCTTAGTGAGCTTTTGGGTTTATATATCCTTCATTAGGCTGTGGAGGCATCTGCAGTTGGTGTGTGCTCTTCCTGGATGGAATGAATGAAGAGGCTGGTATACATGCAAGAAAGCTAGTCAGTGAAGATGTAAATTGAGGAGTCAGTGGGTGAGAGACAGGCTAGGGTGGGAGGGGGTTGAATGTAGCAGGTAAATAGTGGAGAGATACCTGGGGAATCGCTTGTCAGGCAGGTTATAATGTGTCATAAATCCAATATCTATATTTAGTCAATGATTTTTTGTATCCAGGAGGTTAATGAAGTGAAGTTCATAGGCTTGTCTGTGAAAAGTGTTTTGTAAATTCCCTTTGAGTCTTAAAATTGAGGCAAAAGTTAGGTGTTGCATGTGTATATATATATATTCATGGTCATGGAAAAAGATGCTCATGTGATTAAAACCCCTATCCCACTCTATTGAAAGCAACTGTTTTGCTGTGGGATCAATGGGAAGAGGATCAGTACCTAAGTAAACAAAAGTAATTAAGGATTTGTAACCTAAAGAAAGAAATCAACAGCAACTATAGTGGATCTTAACTGCTGCATGCATTCTTAACATTTCAGGAATCAAGGATTGCTAATCTTTTTTTCCCCCCATACAGATCTAAAAACCATGAGCGAGCGACTCAAGAATAGGTACTACGTGACTAAAAAATTGTTCATGGCAGACTTACAGCGGGTCTTTACAAACTGCAGAGAGTATAATCCTCCTGAGAGTGAATACTACAAATGTGCCAATATACTGGAGAAATTCTTCTACACAAAAATTAAAGAAGCTGGATTAATTGACAAATGACAATTTTGTCTTTCTTACAGCCAGTGTGCCTACTTATGGGCAGATGTACTACTCCATTTCCAGTAGAAACAGAACTTTTAATATATACTAAGAAAACTATGTGTTATAATTAGCACTTTTAAAACCCTTTTAGTTTTGCAAACATGTATTATATTAAAATAATAGAAAATGTTTATTTTATTAAAATAATGCTTTATAATATATTTAACATTACTGTTAAACTTCTTTTGCATGTCCAGTTGCAGTATGTTCAATAATAGGTTTTTATTGGATATATCCTCAAAACTTTTGGTGGCAAATTGCACATATTTGGGGATTTGGATAGAAAATTCCTGAACCATGAATGTTTTATCTTCTCTAATGCAGTATCTATTTGCAAAATAGTTTTTATTTTTTCCAGTAAAATATAACGTTAAGAAAAAATTGCAATTTAATTCAGAGGCTGAAATGTTTTGTCTAAATGTTTCATTGTAGAATCTTATAAATATTTTTAAATGAGGCACTCAGCAGTTAAGGTGTGGTGAGAGAAGAGCAATTGGCTCTATGAAAGGAACTGCTTTAAATGAGAAGGAAATCCTAGATAGATACAAACTTTTCTATGGATTTGTTTTTGACAAATATTTTAACTGCAAATAATTTGTGAGTTCATAACCACTATTTAAAAAAATAATCTCTGACTAGATATGGAATGTTGTATCGACTTATGCAGGACATAAGTTCCCAGAAATTACTTCAAAAACTGTGGTAGGTATATACTATCCTTGCCTTTATTTACTCTAATAGGGCTACGTTTTTTATGTATTTCAATTAGTCACCCCATTTTCTGTTCCACGTACTGAAGAATTTGTTAGATTTCCCAAGATAGATGATGCAGATTTTAGCTTACTGTGCATACAGAACGTCACCCTCTTACAGTCTCTAGGTTATCATGTCTGCCTCTGAGGTTAACTGGATTTTCTATCAAGCCCAACTGTAAATAATTTTATTAACTGTTATATTTAGATCCAGGGGCATATTTAAAGTTATACAGCTCATATTAGTATATTGCTAAGTATCAAACTAAGCACTTCTGTACATTACCACTTACACTACTTATAGGAAGTACTTACCTTCCTACTAATAGAGACTAAATTTAGGCCAAAAATAAATGATCACTTGACATTACTTTTCCAACTGAAATTTGTAAAGAATAGAGTTTAACTTGCATTTCTAGATGTTTTATATAACAGACGTTACACTGGTAAAGTTCAGCAGTTATCAGGTTGAAAATACTGCATTGTGATGAAGAACATGTACTTGCAAAATCCCTGGGCAATGTTAAATCACAGTTCTATTCAGCAAGTAGTTATCAGAACTAGTTAAAGCACTTGTGGTACAAAAGGTCTTCAGAACTGTTAATATTAGAATTGCCTCCATGCTTAATATAAGAAATCAGTCTGAATTACATTTAGATTTGTAACTAAGGTACAATAATATTGTATTATAGCATCCAGTAGCAGCTAAAAACTCTTTTGTAAACTGGGCCTATGGATGCACCTGTTAAGATTGGTATCCTGTGAAAGTTTATTTTTTGGGTAGATTTTCTTATTGTCCCTATATGAGATTGTCTCTTCTATAATTGAAAACATTTGTTTTCTAATTTTAAAAATTAATATTTTCATAGATACTGTGCAATGAAGCTACAGTAGGATGTGTGGTTTTGAAAATGCTTTAATAGCTGATGAATTTTACATTTGTAAAATTAATATATTGTACTGGTAACAGAGTAGTTTTAAATAATATATAAAAGCCTAATTATTTTGGTCTCTTATTTCAATGGCTCTGAAAAGATTTCCTCAGTTTTTGCATTTAAAAATATGCTCTGAAACACCTTATAATTTCATATTTTGAACAGACTCATTTATCTACCAGTTGCATTGTAAGTGCCTGCTTTAAAGTTTGGTCTGTAGGCTGATACTCAGCACTCAAAGAATTCTTTGGGAGTTTTAATGGTCTACAGAAATGGGTGCTTCTACTTGTTGCTTCAGTAACCTGAAAAGAAAATAGTTATTGCTTCACGCTAGTTAAGGTGAAACACTCGTGCCCCAGTGTCTTTGAATAAATCTTTTAGATTTAGTTGTTCAGTAGAGCTGAGGAAGTTTGGATTATATTTATCCTTCAGATGTGTGCATTTCTATGGTTCCCATTTTTTGCATCTGATAGCCCGCTGATGTTTGTACTGTGTGCTGTTAACTACCCACTTCTATTCAGTTTGGTACAATTTTGGATGTTAATGCTCTTGAAAGGAATGATGAAATTTGAGAAAAAACATCTATCATACTTGGAGTAAGAACTAATTTGTCTTGCCCCACTTGATGTTTGGTCTGGGAGAATACCTTGGTGGTTGCTCTTGGTCTCTTGTTGGCGTATTAGCCAGAGTGCAGCAAGAAAAAGCTTTGGACGACTTTCTGGGTTATTTACTGTGGGAAATGTGGGAAAACAAGAATGTAAAGACTTTTGCCCCTCTTGCTTGATAGAAAGCTACTCAGTCCTCTGAGATGCCCCTTATACGCTGATGTTAATTGGTTTTGATAGGCAGAGCAACCAAAACCTGGATGTGCCTAGTTACTAATACAATTACAGTACATCCCCGTCAAATCTGGTTGTAATTAAGGTATATTTATTGTAAGTAAATTCCACTTTCCGTGCCTTCAGGAGTTTTACTTTATTCCCACCATACTATGGAAAAGCCTAATACTAGATCTGTTTAGAACTGGGCTTCTACAGCAGTGGATATTTACAAAATGTAATCCAACATACAGAAAATACCACAAAAGTTATATCTGCTTAAGTTTCTTCCAAGAAGGGCATTGACATTTACCAAGGACAAAGGTACCAAACAAGGCCCACAGGCTGAATCTGCCCCACTGGACTACCAGTAGGCTGTGGCCAGGGACACGACCTGTTGCACTATCTGGGGACCCCAGGGTACATGGTGCTCATTGGCAGGAGTGCGAGGGCTGATTCAGCTCCGGTCACCCTCCAGATACTTTGCCTGTCGCCCTGCAGCAGCCATACCACCTGTGGTGGAGCCCGAATTGAAGCAACACAAAATATATGGAAGCAACAGATCCAGCTCTATCATGGGGCATGTGGCCAGGGCTGGAGCCTCCGCTGCATGCTCCAGGATGGAGCTGGTTGCTGATGCCATTGCCACTTGCGCCAACTCGTAACTGGAGCTGTTGCTGCTTCCTCATGCCCTACCTGCATGTAACCGAGAGATCCAGCTGTGGTACCAGGGCACAAGGTGAATTTGACACCCTGACCTGGGAAATCTGCATGAAAAGTTAACATACTGTGTTTTTTTTAATCTGTCTGCTTAAACAGTTTTTATATACGTACTGTTAGTTATATCTGCCCAGGTAAGGCTTCGTAGAAGAAAGCCTTTTAATTTTGTATGCAAGTCCCACATTCTAATCTAAGCTAGAACACATTTTTATTAAGGTATTCATGGATATGTAAATACTAGTTTATAAAGTTCACTTATAACTGGAATTTAGGACTAAAATCATACATATGAAATTTGAGTCATTACAAAAAGGCAGCTGTTGAGATGCAGAAATACTGTAAATTACAAAGATACCTTTTAAATATTATGCAGATTTGAAATAGTTCCTAGTTCACTGTGAACACTTTTGTTCACTTAAGTTCTTTCTTTAGATTCACTCCTCTGGTACCCAAATACAGTAGTAGGATATAGACCTTCCTTTGCCTGGCCCCAAGTAGCAGGCTGACAAGTATCATTCTTAACAATGGAAGTGAAAGTAGCAGGTAAGGAAGAAAATTGTCCCTTATATATGAAAGTTATTTTCCCCTTACAGAAAACAATATAAAAAAGGCTGCCTTTAACTTCAAAAAAAAATCCGGGAATGTCTCCTTGCCAAAAAGGAGGCTTACTCCCAATGGAAAGGAGGGGTCATCACTAAGGAGAACTATTCTACAGTTGCTCGGGGATGTAGGGGGATGGTTAGGAAGGCCAAGGCAGAGATGGAACAGGGGCTGGCTTCCCGGATTAAGGACAACAAGAAGTCCTTTTT